AAAGAGTTACAAGGAGATGAAGCACCCGGAGAAGCCCTCGGCTTCCACACTGCTGGAGGAGCCCGTTCCCCAGGGGAGGGCGAGCACCTCGGAGCCACGCCGGCGCACCACGGGCTCTGCCGATGAGCGGGGAATCATCTGGTTTGCTAAAGAGGATGTGGAGGAGGAGGAGGAGGAGGAAAGCAGTTGCTGAAGATGCCAGCATTCACCCCTGCTCAGGCTGCAGCCCTGACTTGCTTCTCTCACCGGCAACAGCAGCCACTTTGCCCACTTCAACCCACGCGGAGCTGGGCAGCCCTCGTCCCCGCTGCAAGGGCTCAGTGATCTCCCCTGAGTTCAGGTCTCCTCATCCGAGAAACACCTTTTTAGGGAAAATTCACCCCCAGCCCTCCCTCACACCTGCGCAGGGAACAGCTCGGGGATGGGAAGAGGAACTGAGCAAAACCCGAGGCTCGGTCCAACGCTGGAGTGAGGGGACAGCGCAGCCAAGGGCCACGGATCTGCCAGCACCCGACCAAGCATGCAGGCAAGATCAAAAGGAGCCTCTCCCAGAAACCATCCCTGCTTCAGCAGTGTTGCTTTAAATTCAAAGGGCGCAAGGTTTCTGCCCAGCACTTGAGGCTGTATTATACAATTCAGGCAGTTTAGGGCAGATTTACGCCTTGGTCGGCTGAGGAAGCCCGATGTGCAGGCAGCAGATAGCCCTTCTTAAAGGTCAGCGGGGATTTGTCTTTTACGGCTGTTTCACCCATCTTTCCTTCAACAGGAAGGAAACCAGAGGATCGTCCTTGAAAGCCTGCAGTGGCCTTGCTGTTCTGGAGGGGCAGGAGCACAGAAAGCAAAGCCAAGTTAAAAAAAAAAAAAACAACAAAAAAACAGCTTGCAAATGGTTTTAAAATGTAAATGAGCATCTTGAAAGCCAAATGCAGCAATCCCCTGCAAGCACACAAGATGCGGCCAGAGGAACTGTGTCCTCTGTTCCCTGTCCAAGCTGGACAGGGATCCCTAACAGGGATAAAAAGGAAATCTGGATAAAATCTGGGGGGCGAGCCTGCTGGGCAGAGCACACAGCCAGAGCCAGCCTGGCAGGCAGTAAGAGAGAAAGAGTTTGCATCGGTTTGGGGCTCACTTTGGGTGTTGGCAGCGCGGTCCCGATGCTGTTAGAGTCTGCCACCGTGCTACCCCAGCTCTGGGGAGGCTGCCCCCCGAGCAAACCGCTTCCCGGGCAGCCTGGTGTAAGACCCAACACTCCTCCCTGCTTTGGTTACCTGGGATTTATTCAGAGCCTTTTTCCCCCCCTAGGTCGATGGCTCTCCAGCGAACAGCGGGAGCTCCCCGGCTGCGTCGCAGCAGCTCTCTGCGCCTCACTGCAGATCCCGTCCTGCAAGAGAGGGAGGAAGGAGGATTTACTGCAGTCCCTCCGATTTCACCGACCTGGCTCGCAGTCAGCCCTGCTCTGCAGAAGTGCCTGGAAAGCAAACTTGAAGCCTACCAGGGAATTTCTGCAGCCGGCTTGGAGACATGAATCATGCCTGCTGCTTTCCTGCAGCTTCTCGGTTTCCCAGAGCCCCCGGGTACGGCAGCGCATGTTTTGGCCATCCAAAACCCCACAGATTCAGAGACAGAGAGGGCCACCCATCTCCCCAACTCCCTTAAGCCCTGCAGCGCCGACAGCAGCCTCCAAAAAGCAAACTGCCACCTGCTCCTCCAGCCTGAGCTCGAGAATTAAGGCGCACCCCTTGCTCCCCACACCAACACCTCAACCTCCCCAGCGGCAGGACCAGACTTGAAGCAACCCAGCGCCTCGAGCAGGATGATGAGAGGCCGAGCAAGGCTTCAAACCCTCGCCAAAGCTGGGTGCTGGGCATCCTGCACCACATGAGTCCCCCCAGGCTAACCAAGGGCAATGAGGCAGGGCTGCCTGCCAGCCTGGGACTGCGACCGTCACTGGCACAGCCCTGCTGAAGGTGAATTCCCCCGAGCTCAGCCCTTGGGCAGGGTCCAACGCTGCTGCCTGGCTCCAGTTTTAAGGAGGGCAAAGGAAGCGTTCCGGGGACTGCAGAGCAGCTCTTGTGTTACCCCCATGTCTTTCTACACACATCTTTGTCCAGCTTGAACTGGGCAAAGGGACTGACGAGGCAGGGTCCCCTCTCCCGAGCTGGAGAACTGACAGGAACTAACTCAGAATTCTGGCACACAGGAGCAGGGGGGGTGTCAGATCCAGAGCCAACAGCCTCGACCATCTCGTTTGGACAGATCTGATTGCTTAGAGTGATTACGGTGAGTTGCAAATACTCTGCCCTCGCTAAACACCCTGCGCCCGGTGAGCAAAAACAGGCAGCGGGAGCTCATCTGCAGGCAGGGAGATGGCAGCAAGCCCTCGCCGCATGGTGCGGAGCCGAGCACAGGTGTTTGCTCCCCTGGCTCCAGCAATTCCCACCAAGCTCCTTCCCAGGCTGAGAAAAATGTCCTGGCACTCGCTGATCTCCCGGCGAGGGGCTGAGCAGAGGAGCAGCTCCTGACAGCTGGGAGCAGCACCAGCACTCAGAAAAAGCAGGATGCAAGATCTGCAGCAACAAGACAAGGAAGACAAAAAGCCCCTGACCTTGTGGTGGCTCAAATTTTAACCTATCTTCTTGCCTAACTTATTTTAAGCCAGTCTTGCAAACTGGATTCAAGGAGTTGAAAGGGTTTGTAAGGATCTGGTAGCAAAACAGCAGCTGGGTGCTGGAGGGGAGCACCCAGAGCTCACCCACACCTAGTTCAGGCTTCTCGGATCCGTTCTGAAGACAAGCCCTCGCCGCAGCACAAACCCTAGGACCCTGGACCCAGAATCCCAGGGCACGAGGGCTCCTGCACCATCCAACCCCTACCCTGTAACAAAGCCCTCTGCTCTCGGGTGGTCCCCGCAGCCAAGGGGCAGTGGGAGACCTCCTCTCCGAAGCCCCTACCAACAGCGAAACCAGGACACACACCATCAGCGACCCCTCCTGTATCTCCCACCTTGCAGGCTGTGACGGCCAGGCTCAGCGAGATGGAGATGTGGGGAGCTCAGCGCTGCTCACCCCCTTGTGCCAGCTGCTGGGAGGAAAGGGGCTCTTCAAAGCGCTTCACCCCTGATTTTATTCACCCAGGACGACTGAATTCAGGAGCCTCAGAAGACCTAGAGCAACGCCGCTCTCCCGAGACCCTGGCACACCAATGGCCACTTCACTCTACCCCCCAACACTCCCCCTTCACCTGCCTCAAGGTGGAAAACATCATCCATGTTCCCACAACACGCAGCAGAAGAGCCCTGCTAGATGCTGCTACAGCCACCTTCCTCGATGGAAGTAGCTTCAACAAGGTTATTTCACGCCTGCGATGCAGCATGAAGGAGTCCGTGGCCCAGCTGGAAGCAGCACCGTGGTTTGGAGCATCTGATTTTCGGCTGCTCATGAAGTGCTTTGAGGCTGAAGGAGAACACAGCCCTCCTGCCGCTGAGCTCACATGGCCAAAGGCAGGACAGCGTGTTCCTCCCAGAACCTGCATTTCAGAGCTGTCGGGTGACGCAACGGGGTGCAAGCCCCCTCCTTGATCTCAGGCCCCCAGGTCGGGAACACGGCAGAGCTCAGGTGTCCCCTGCCCCCCAGCTGCCATGCCAGTGGGCTCCCAAATTCAGCTGTCCCGGTGAGTAAGATGCTCCTAAACCCGAGACACAGCAAACACAGCACGGTGCTTCTCGCCAAGGTGGGTGCTGCCAGCGGGCTCCCAGGAGAGACACCGATGCCGAATAAGCTGTCGCTGGTGCCACTCATTTCCTCTTACGAAGGGTGGAAGAAGAAAACTCGTTAGTGACCCCTGACTATTTTTACTGCCCTGTTTTAGGCCAATTCCTCCATCCTTGAAGGCTGAGATGCTGCCAATGGAGTCTTTCGGCTTCTAGCAAGAGAGACTCGTTGCCTGGGAAGGGATGCAGGGATAGCACTGCTGGTGCTGCTCGTCCAGAGGAACGAGCCATCTAAGCACCACAGGAGCATTTAAACCATGCCCAAGACACCCCATGTCCCTGGTTATTACAGCGAGAGGGCTCCCCGTAGCTCTGCCAACCTTTCTACAAACTCTGTGACAGCCCAGAACAGGAGTTTACTGGCTGACAGTAAGTTTCGATCTACCCAGACTGACATGCGTCTTCAGGAGGGTCTGACAAGGCAGGCGTGAAAGAAGGAAGCAAATGCAGGGAGATGCAACCACTCCAGCCTTGCACAAACACACACTCCCTGCGTATCGGGAGATATACGTTGGCACCTAAAGTGGAGGGAGAGGCACAGAGGAGCAGGAACTCAAAGGGCAAGCTTCTAGGAAACAGCTCACCTAGAAAAGAGAGGGTCC